AGTGCTGGGGGTGCCTTAGCACAGGCTGCACTGGGTGCAGATGGGATTGGCCAGCAACCTGGGCTGGTGGTGCTGATGGATGAGAGCAGAACCCCCTTGTTAGAGGGGGAAAACACAGGAAAACTGAGTGGAAAAAAGGTCAATTTCTGACTGGGGAAAAAGATCAACTTCTGACTGAGATGTGACTAAGTCTTGTGTGAAGATCTGTCATGAGAGGTGGACCTACATGGAGAAAAAAACCTTCTAGAACAAGAGATACAGTTCTCTCCACTGAAGGGGAGAGGTTGCTTTTATGATATTTCTATCTCCAAAGCATTGTTTTTTGCAGGTTAGCTCAAAATATTATCTAAAAGCAGCGTGTATGAACCGTAAGCATTCAAGCCTCAGTGCCACTGAGTAATGACTCAATCAGCACCTAGATCTTCATATGCTTTTTGGCTCATCTTTATGAAAGCAAATTATTTCAGTTGTTTACAGCCTGGTGTGTTTTATTTCCATGGCTTGGTACTCTGTCTTGCCTCCTAGTAGTTTGTTTACTGACATTAGCCCTATTAATGCCAGTTGGCAGAGGTTTTTCCTTTTTGCTGACAGCCAGCACACCTTTGATGTCCTTGAAGAATTAGTTGCCTTGGGAATTTTTCGTGCTGTAACCTATTTAGGGTTTTTTTAAGTCAGTTTTTGATAGTTAATTCACACCAGTCATCTTTATAATGTCATTAATAAAGGTTTCTTAACCGTGCTCATGGGCATTTAGGGCAATGTGCAGTAGTTCAGTAAAAACATTACAAAACACAATAATCACAGCATATAAATAGAAAGAGGAACAGTCTGCAGAGAGCTGAATATCAAATCCTGAAGGTATTTAGGAGCTAAAGCTTTATTTAAGCCCACCTCTCAATGATTAAAAAAACCCAAACAAACAAACAAACCCAAAGCCAACAAAACAAACCTGCAAAAAGCTCCAACACCAAACAGAAAAGTAAAACACTGTTGAAAAGACTTTACTAAGAAGAAAGCTCCAGAGGGATGTGGTTTGAAGTAAAAAGAAAGTCTAGACTACTGGAGAAACTTTATTCTCAAGAATTCTGATTATAACACTGTTTATACCAAAGAAGTAGTTTTAAACTAAGAAAACTATATTTTTGGGACCAGTTTAAGCATGTCATTCATGAGCTGGCCACTTGCTTGTGGGTCATCTGTCAGACAGGATGCACGTTGGGATGAGATGTATGCAGGAGAATGCACAGGCTGTGGGGATGAAATAACCCAATCCACATCGTCCATCCTAACTTCAAGCTATTGCTTTTTATTTTCTTGCTTAATAATCAAGCACAATTCACTAAACCACTGCAAAGTCTCCAGCTCCTTGCAACTGAAAAACCAGAGAGTGTTTCATGATACCCATTCCACTCCTGGAACTGCATTTTCTGCTAAGACCCTGAGCTATCAGTCCAGCTGGAAAACGTGTGTGCTGGGAGAGGAAAGTGTCTCCTGAGGACTTCTGAGTTTCACAGCTGTTTTCTGCAGTGGCTGGTGATGGCTGGAAATACCACATGGTGGTTGAGGAATGAGTGTCTGCTCATATTAGGTTTCTATTATTGGCATTTTTGTGGCAGTTTAGGCTTCTGTGTAGTAGCCTGTGCCCACTGGTGATTCCAATCTAAGACTGTGGCCAGCAGGTTGAGGAGGGTGATTCTGCTCCTCTACTCCACTCTCACAAGACCCCACCTGGAGTACTGCACCCAGCTCTGGAGCCCCCAACACAAGGATGACATGGACTTGTTGGGGCAGGACCAGAGGAGGGTAATGAAGATGATCAGTTGGCTGGAACATGTTTCCTACAAGGACAGGCTGAGAGAGTTGGGATTGTTCAGCCTAGAGAAGGCTCTGAGGAGACCTTCTTGTGGCCTTGCAGTATCTGGAGGCAGCCTACAAGAAAGCTGGGGAGGGACTTTTTATGAGCATTTCTACTGATAGGACAAGGACCCATTGTTTCAAACTGGAAAAGAGTAGATTAAGATTAGAAGTTAGGAAGAGTTCCTCACTCTGAGGGTGGTGAGACACTGGCACAGGTTGCCCAGGGAAGCTGTGGATGCTCCAGCCCTGTTAGTGTTCAAGACCAGGTTGGATGGGGCTGTGAGCAACCTGCTGTAGTGGGAGGTGTCCCTGCCCATGGCAGGGGGGTTGGAACTAGAAGATCTTCAGGGTAAGGTCCCTTCCAGCCCAAACTATTCTATAATTCTGTGAAATTTTATATGGTGGTGGTTGCTTATAGGAAAGGTAAGTGCACCTCACAGCTTCCATGGGTATTGCTGTGTCCAAGGAGCAGTTAGCTATGGTGAGCATTAAGTATGTACATGATGGGCTAATGGTAGCCATGCATGTGTCCATTTTAGTCTGTCTTTTTTCCCCCATAATATTTTTCTTCAGTGCTAAAGACATTTTCAACATTCCCTATGGCCTTCAGCTTTGATATTGCCACATGGTGGTAAAGGCCAGTTGATAGGAACTTTTGTTGCTAGCATTCATCAATGAATTCATCTGAATGGTGCTGGGACTTCTGTTTATTTGCTTTAAAAAGGTGTGTTTTCCATTTAAGTGGGCAGTTGTTCAAGAGCTGTTGCAAAACCCTGTTACACAATGCAAGAATTCCTAATACATAAGCGAGGCGTGGCAAACTGTTGTGAGTTTTTTAGGTCAGTATGCCATGAATCAGTATTTATTATCTAACTTTTTTCAGAGTAGGAATTTTGACCTTTTCGCTGCGCAGCTTCCTTTGGGACTGTGCAAGGAGGTGGATTTTGCAGAGAATAGTGTCACTTCTGAAGCTTTGGCACTTGGAGCCTCCAACTTGAAGGCTCCTCTCAGAGATGGAGTTTTAGTAGTCTCGCCATGTACAGCCTAGGCATCCTTTCTCTTTTTGAATAGCTACATGCAAAAAAAGATTGAAGGCTTAAAGAAAAAAAGCTGTGTTCCCTCTGCAGTGCCTTCATCCGTGGGAGCTTTTTTTCCAAGGGCAGGATGTGACCTTTGAATGTCTACAGCATTGTAACGGAGATGAAATCGTTTTATAAGCTGGGCTCAAAAAGCATATTGATGGATACAGCAGTGCCCTGTGGGGCTTTATCCCAGCGCTGTTAATCTGATCTGATAATCTGTCAAAGCTCCTAGTTAATGCCAGCGAATGCTTTCAAACTGCAGTTCTCATGCTGCTACCAGTTTTCCAAAACATTCCTGTTGTAGTTGTCACCTTTATAGTGATGCCAGGGTTCATTGAGTACTGACTATTTCAAATAAAGAGAACATAAACCCTTTGGTAAATTGATGTCTGTCAATCAGCAAGCCCTTTTCCATTTCTGACATCAAAATCCAAGGACGAGAGTTTACGTGTGAATCGGAGAAAGCCCAGGATACTTTTGAGGAAAACAATAGGTGAGGACACAAGTTTTCTGATCAACATTCCTGCTTCATAAAGCAGATTAACATCTCCAACTCTGATCTGAAACTGCACAGTGGATTATGTGGTTGCTGCTGTTCGTGACTGATTGCATTTAAATGCCCTTCAGATGCTTCACAGGGTACGAATGGGAAAAAACCTGCCCTTGGGTGATGGCATAGTTTGGCCTCAGTATTGGGATGATTTTATAGGATAGTCCTGTTTCCTACAGTTCTGCAAATAAATTGTCCTGTGACATGGTCACGGGCACTTATAGCATTCACAAGCTGCTTACTGCTTTAATCTCTGGACAGATTTAGAAGCCAAATGGTGAGGATGGACAGGAGCAGCACAGCACGTTGATTCTCATGGAGCCAGCTGCAGATTTGGTTTGTGCCTTTATAATGTGAGATGGGTGCATCAGATAAAATGGGAAGGCTAATGAAAACAAAGGGTGTTTCTTGGCTCTAGGGAAACACAAAATAACTCTGGGGTGTTTGGTGCTTAGTTGCTCCCAATTAATAAAAAAAAAAAAAAAACCAAAACATTTTTCCCCTGAACTACAGTGTCAGAATTGTGATATTTTCTTCTCCAGAAATTTTTAGACAACTGATGGTGCAGACAGGTTTTGTGATGGCCACAATAGGAGTTTGATATCTAGTTGCTTTTGAAAATCCCACTGACCTCTCTTGAATACTCAGTGACCATGAGCTTTTGTGTTACAGCACTGCCCAGGAATGCAAAGCTTTGTGGTCCCATTGTTATCATGGTCATATCTCTGTTACAGCCTCGAGGGGGGCTCGGTGCACTGCAGAGCAGCAGGGATCCCCTCCTCTGGGGGGCTGATGGCCCACAGGGGCTGCAGTGGGAAGGAAGCCTTGGGGATGGTTGAGTCAGGACATGAAGGTGTGACCACATGAGGTGCCAGGCAGAGGCTGGGGGCTCCAGCTGCATGGAGACACTCATGGGAGAGGCAGGTCAAACCTCGTGCCCAATCTGGGCTTTTGGAGCAGCTGCTGTAGGCTTGCCTTGGGGCCAGGACCTCGCTGAAGCTTCAGGAGCCCCCCAGCAGGTGTGTTTTGGCAGAGGAACAGCCCCTTTGTTAACCTGAGAAGGCCGTGCGAGCCAAGCACACCTAGAAAAGAGGTGAGAGGAGAAATGGAGGCACCTGGATACCAAATCCCTTTCACCCAGGAGGAGCAGGGCAGTGCAGACACAGGCCCAGGCCCTTCCAGTGCCTCGTCCCAGGGAGCTGCCAGTGGTGGGATGAGCTGGGGGTACGGCCACAGCCACGTCTGGGCGTGGCAGAGCTGCTGTCCCACCGCCCGCTGGCATGGCCTTGAAACAAGAAGGGCTCATGGATCTGTTTGTCCTCACAGTAGAGCTCGGAGCCACTTCTGGCCACAGAGGCAGGAGGGAAATCTGGGGGCAGGGGCTGTGCTGCAGGTGAGTTTTAGGGAAGGGAAAGATATCCACTGGGCGCTTTTTTTAATCCAGGTGTTTTGCAATGACCCTCCTCCTGTCACTTGGAGAACTCAGGACATGTTTTCTGTTTCTATTTCAGGACAAGAACATCCTAACAGCCTGCGGCACAAGTACAACTTTATAGCAGATGTGGTGGAGAAGATAGCTCCTGCTGTGGTTCACATCGAGTTGTTTCGCAAGTAAACAAGACGCCCAGTTTTGATTTTTGTCTTCTTGAAAACAGCTGCCAGTGTCCCCAGAAATGCTGATTGATGCTATGTAATAGCAAAGAGATTTTTGAGATGATAAATATTTGTCGTGCTTAAGAATTAAAAATAATTTCAGAGTCCTGAGGGGGAAAAATAATTAAACTAATGCACGTGCATCATCTTGTCAATGATAGTAAAAGCATTCAAAACCACCGAACTGCTTTGGGCTGTGTGATATCTGGAGTGATTTGTAACCTTTCCACTTTTTGCAGTAATTCATGTTTGTTATATCTTCTAGACTTCCTTATTCGAAGAGGGAGATCCCTGTTGCCAGTGGCTCAGGGTTCATTGTCTCAGAAGATGGACTAATAGTGACGAACGCCCACGTTGTCACCAACAAAAACCGAGTGCAGGTGGAGCTGAAGAACGGGGAAACATATGAAGCTAAAATTAAAGATGTTGATGAAAAAGCTGACATTGCACTAATTAAAATAGATTCTCAGGTGAGTCGTTAAAGCAAGACACATTATATTCTTCTTAAGTTAGCATCCTCCTTTCCAAAAGCTACTGCTAATTTGAAGAGCCTTGTAGTTTTGGGTTATGGAGGATCTTTGAGCTGGGTAGATATGCTCTTTTAAAAGTCAAGTTTGTGGCTGGTAATGGTTCATTTTATCACCTTTCAGTGCAGCACAAGCAAGTACATGGAACTTCTATCTGCATCCTCAAAATAAATATCAACAGTGTGGTTTGGCTGGTTTACTTATGTATTGGGTAGTGTAGCTCTGCCTCCAATAAGAAATGGGGCTTGTTCCCTTGTGGTTGGTAGAGGGATGTATTAGTCTTGTGCACCTAAACTGAAGTCACAGACTGCTTTTAGAGGATGCATTTGTCCTTCTCAAGGGCTGTACCACACTGTTGTAGATATTAAGATGGAAAATATCTTAGGAAGCATCTTGAAAGTGCACATTAAAGCCAGCTTGGAAAGGTGCTCTTAGGCTGCAAGTGGTTTTCTGAACACATGGGAATGCAACTTGCCATCCATCGTCTTCCTCCACGTCAAACATATGGCTGGCAGTGCTGTTCTGCCTCCTGCAGCAGCAGAAAAGCTGTCGTGCAGTTCTGCACACGTCGACAGCACAACCTGAGTGGAATATTGTGTCAAAGTACTGTGTAATGTAGATGCAATCTGATGCGTGTGATTGCTCGAGGTGCTGCTCTGATTGGCTTCCCTCGTCTGGACTGTTAATGACCTCCAAATTAAACGGGCAAGAACGTTTCATTTGAAACACATGACTCAAAAATGTGTGGAGCCTGCAGTGTTTTGGTTCAGACCTATTCCCCAGTGAGGTCAAAAGTGTTTGTTCCAGAGTTCATGACTCAATCAGAAGCTTCATGCAGAACTCTTGGATGACCCAAGATACAAAGTCCTCCTGCTGCTCCCTTGCCACCTTTGTCGTTTAAAAGCTCTTTCTTTTTTCTTACTTAAAAGCTTTGTTAACAGCAACATGGCAGAAAATCTTAACAATGCCAAGAATGGTTTTTGCCATGTTAGTTTTTTTCCCATTTTCCTGAGGTAACCTATCTAGGCACTTACCAATCACTTATTTTCTCCTTTTTCTATTAAAATAAGCAAAAGCAGATCTGCAGTGACAAAGCAAAGGGAAAGATCCCCAGGATGGAACTGGCAGCATCAGGCTGAGTAGATGATGTGTCAGGGAGTAGGAGATGGCAGGGACTGAAGGGCAGCTGGAAAAGTGATTTAAAATTGGAAGCACAACACATGGGGAAATTAGACCAGAAAATGGTGGTGAGAAGGAGAAGACTTCAAGCAATAGGAAGGCAAGCTTCAGAGGAGAGAGGAGCTGGTGAGTCACAGAGAGGAGACATGGAACTGATGTTACAGATCATTTTGAGGACTTAAGAAGAGAGCAGACATGGAGTTTTATGTTATTTGATACCCTACAGAAGTGGCTCCAAAATTTCCCTGGTAAACTGCTGGTGGGAAGGGAGAATCTGGAAGATTTGAAGCAGCTTGGAAAAAAGAGAATGCAGCCAGAGGAGTTGCCTGTAGTAGAAACCACTGCTAAACAGGACTGGAATTGGTGGTTCTAGTTAGGACTTGCAAGATGGCAGATATTCTTCTATTTTAAAAATAAAATGATAAGTCATCTTCTTCCATCAAGTTTATGTGTGAATGTAGTCAAACAGTCACCCTGTTATTGCAAGTGGTGCATCAGCATTGGAAAATTAATTTTATAAATATTTACACATTCTTTAAGACTGGAAACCTTTTATGTCTTGCAGCTGGTTTAGCTCTAGAGAACTCTCTTTTTCTTTTGGGGGTTGGAGAGGGGAGGGATTGACCTGTGAATATTCGGTTGCCTATGAGAAAAAAGGTTGGGTTTAATGAAACTTTGGGAAGTCTCTTGGTCATCCTAGAAGATGAGCTCTTGGAGAAGGAGGTGAACAAGCCCCCACTGTCTTCTTCATATAATGTTAGTTTAGCACATCCATCAGAGTAGCAGGAGATGAGATTTTGTGTCTCTGATCTAAATTCGGTAGAATATGGAGATAAAGTTGAGTCTGACATACCCTTGATAAGTCCTCATCAGTTGTACAACCCAGGACCTTGTCTGCTGTTCTCTGGACCCTGCCTGTTGCATCTCAAGATAATTTGGAGAAGATTTGGGCAAAAACTCTTGTATCACTTGTTTATTTGGATTTTTTTTTTTTCTGGGAGACCAGGTTTCCAGCCAGCTCTAGTGACATGGCCCTGGGAAATCCCAATCCAAAGTGAGGCCTGAGGCACCTCTGTTTGAGGCACAGATGATGCTTTGCACTTGGAGAATTTGGAACACACAATTCTGAGTGTTCACAAAAAGTTAAAATGGAAATGTGATCAACTGAGAGGTTGATTTTCAGACTGAACTTTTATGTGACGTTTTTATCTATCCATTTAAGTTCAGTGTTTGAGCTTTCCTTTCTTGGTCCTGAAGTGCCTTGCAATCATCCAGGTTCATAAAAAGCTTTTTGAAATCACAGAGGTAGTAACTTATTGAAGTTGAAATGCATTTGATGACTAAAGAAGTCAATATGATGGATCAAAAAACCCTTTCAAAATCTGGATATGGCATGAAAACCATCCCTAAGGATTTTCCTGAAGGGGTGAAGTTCTTCCTTTTGAATAAATTATTTGAAGGTGACATCAAAGATGCAGAATTTTTTGAAAATTCTGTTTTTATGTGGCATGTTAAGGCAGGATCTGAAGGGGAAAGAATGCCTCTGTGGTTAGGAACAGAGCTGGGCTTGAAGGGTGAGTTTAGGCTGTCAGCTGGTGTTCCTAAAACTGTTAAGATTTTACAGCAGCCTGCATGTTGTTTTTCTTTTAAGGTGTGAACATCTGGCCAAAGATATTACTAGAACTAATCTGCTTTGCTGAGTGCAATAGGAAATGAAAGAATGTGGTAGAATCTGGGCACCCATAAGGATGAACCATTTCCCTGATTAAATTCTTCTACATCAAAAAAAACTCTTGCAGTCAATGAAGAACAGAGATCTTGGAATTGTTCTTCTAATCCTAAAAAAAACAATTTATTTTCACAGTCTATAAAGAAGAGAGACTATTTCTTGGGTCCATAGTGAGACACAGCAGTGTGAAGTGTTGAAAGTCAGAAGAGTGGAGTGAAGTGGGGTAGATGTGAATGCAACATAACTATCATTCCAAACACAGATAGTGTTGGGGAGCCAGGAAATGTTAGAAAGAAACAGTGCAGTTGCAGACAAATTTGGGTATGAACATGCAAAATGGATCAAAATTCCCTAGAAAAATGTGCAGCTGGCAGTATAGGCAGAGGCTGGTGAAATAATCCATCCTTTATAGCACGTGATACTGCAGTCAGCATGAAACCCATCAAAAATATTGCACAACCCTGAAGCTCACAGATGCTTTTTGGCTGGCAGAGCTTGATTATGAAAGTCATCTCAAGACAAATAACTACCTTGTTAAATGAGTATGTGTGATACAGCTGCTGAAAGCTGTAAACACCAGGAGGAGGAAAGGAAATTTTAGGGGGGTTTGATGGACAACGTTGGGGTTAATGGAGGGCAGAGTTGTGAGAGAGCCCTGTGCTCTCACTCAGATCAGCTGGAACCTAAACACAATGGAAGGTGGAGGTGGCTTTTCCCTGGAGACCCTTTTCACCTCTTGAAATGGGACTCTGCCCACAGAAATGATGTGTGTGGTAGGTGCCTATGGTTTGGCAGCAAGTAGAGAACAGGGGAGCGTGGTGAATGGCTTTATGTTGGGGTGTACCTTCTTCCTACACACTGAAAAACCTCCCATGAGACACTTGCCACTGGCTCTGAAACAGCACCTCTGTCATGGAAAACATGCCAGGGTCTGAAGATTTTTGTTCCTCGATGTGACCAGCTGCAGGTTTCTGTATCCCAGGCAGGATTTGGCATCTGCTTGGTACAGCAGTGGTGGGTTTGTGACCAAGCTCTAATTTGCGGTGATATTACAGCCATTTTGCTGAAGATTTTTCCTGCATCTTCCTAATAACCACTTAGTTTGACAGGTTTAAATCAACAAGACCTCCTGCCCTCCTTCCTTCAGTGGTTTCGTGAGGCAATGCAGTGTCTGTATCCTTGTGGTCAGAAGGGATTTGCTGTTTTTCCCCAGTGTGTACAAACTGGAGAGAGCAGGAAAGCAAACCTTCCTGTTTATGTATCAATATTTTAATAGCCTGCCTTTTGAAAAACCCAAACGACTTGAATACCAGATGTGTCTTTTCTAAAAGGCTATTTCACTTTGAAATCTGTCACTGGCTATTGCAGTGCTTCCTCTTGGGAGCCTGAGGAAGCCCACATATTGCTTCCAGAAGGCTTCAAGACCAATAGAAATGAAATAGCTTGTAAAAAGCTTGGATGTTAACTCCTGTTTACTCATCAGTTTAGGCAGCAGTGGTTTCCTGCCCTCTTCAGCTCCTAGTGGCCCTCGCTGTAAGGACAATGCTCCCCATGCAGCAAAAGGCTCACACACCTCCAGGCTGGGCCTGCCACAACCAGGGTGTTTTATTTTATTTTAAGGAAGAACAGCAATATCTTGCCAGGAAATCCTGGTGACATAGCAAAACAACATTTCATCCTTTTTTTCTTTTTTCTTTTCCTGCAAGCTTCCCATGCTCCATATTTAGATCAGAAGACTCAGTTTTGTTTTTCTAGCTATAGATGAAATACTTTCTGAGGCTTGTAATGCGTTCAGCTTGGGTTTTTCATTTTCTTTGGCGTTTTGTCAAGCAGTCTCTAGATTGTAGATGATACTTTACATTTTTATATGCTCATAGCCTGTGTTTTTATTTTGCTGCAACGTATTCTGAAAGTTAAATAGTTTCATTAATGAGAACAGAAATGCAAATCCCAGGGAAGTTCCATGTTTTGCCAGAGTTCCTTACAGTTGAGTTAGTGTACCATACAAGCATCTGTTTCTTTTCCACCTAAAAATAAAAAGCATGGAGGCAATCTGTCACTATTGAAGGCAAACTGAACTCTGAGCACTCGTCTCCTCTTCATCAGGGTATTGCACTGCAAACTGCTTCCTGCACGTTCATGATCTTCCTCCCACAAACGAAGGGGTTATGGAGCAGAGAAGGGGTTTACTTGGCTTTCTGTACCAATGCAGAGGCAGGGTCACTTATTTCATGGATGAAAAAGCTCCAGCTGAAACACCTACTGGTTATATCATCTTTTCTCTTGTTTTTTATTCCTCTGTGGCACTGGCTGTGCCAGTGGTGGTTGTGCTGCCTCTTATTTTAATTTCAAGCTGATTTTTCAAGGCTCCACTTTTTACCTGACTCTACATTGCTTATGTGCACCAGAAGAACATCTGGCTCCTGATGATGCTGTTCTCTATTTGTCCTAATCTCTCATGCCACAGGAGCAGTGTCTTGTTGGATGAAGCCATTTCTTGTGGTGGTGTGCAGCTCTCCATTTCGTGGGAGTTCTGTTTATCCAGGGTTTGAGTCAAAATCCATATATAAAACTGCCTTTGGGATGAGAAAGGCTTAAAATATTAACACTAATTAACGGCTCCTTCCCTGGCTGGGTGTAAACAGTGAGTCATGTGCCACTTATGGTTTTGCATGTTTGGTCCTATTTCTGTGGAACTGCAGGATGCCTGCTTGCAGATTTGCTTTATTGAGTAAACACAGATCCCAACAGAGCCCCGAGGCTTCATCAAATGAAAAACAGGGAAAGAAAAGACAGAGGGGAAGAAAAGACATTTTATGTTGCCCAAGGTCATGAAGTGAGTCACTGGGAAAGCTGGGGTTAGGTGCTGGGTGTTTCTGGCTGCCTGTTCAGTGTGCTGCAAGGCATGCTCATTTGCCTGGGATTTTAATTAACTGCTGCAGCAAATCTATAGTTTTCGGAGAGAATCACGAGTTTTGAAGGCAGTTATGTCATCCTGATGGCCATCAGACATTATGTAAAAATTGAAGAGTCTGCATTTATTAAGAGTTATTGGAGGATCTGGACCCAAGCATTTAAACTTGATTTATGAGGACTGTGGTGACACCCTAGGCAAGAGCTCACCCGGGGAAGGGTGTGAGGACCCAGGCAGGGTGTTCTGATGTGATTCTAGTCACAACACTGCTGTAACTCCTTGTTCTGCATTTCCAGTCCTCCTCTTGCAGAGTGATGTAATTCCCATTCCATCACTTGATGCCTGAGGATTTTGATTGGTTTTAAGCTGATTTCACTTCAAAACCACCTCTACAACTGAAATAAATTATTGGGTTTTTTTTTTGATAACAGAAATTTCTGAATGTGGCAATGTTAACTTTAAGCTTTTTTTTTTTTAGAGTGAAACCCCTAAATTTAAAGCCACTACACTGCATGTATTTATAACATAAATACATATTTCATAACCAATTAATTCTTCATGGAATTTGCTTGTAGAGGCACTGATGAGAATATTTGCATGCAGTGCCACGTGTCCTGAACCACACTGCAAAGTCATAAGGAATAGAGCACACGCTTTCCAAAGCTCTGTTTCATAATCCCTGTACAACGAGGCCATTTTTGCCATTGATTTTTGTCTCCAGGGAAGGAAAGGTTGGCCAGACTCTTTCCAGAAGGCACATTGAATCACACGGGTGACCCCCAGCCAATCCATACAGCGTTAGACTTGCAACCAGTGCCTAGCTCGTATAGGCACAGGCTTGAAAACTCAGCACAATCCAAAGTCATTGTATTAGTCAGAGACTGTTCATGTATTTTCTTTCTGCTGCCAAATGCAATTTTGGCTTCGTGACTGTTTTTAAAACTCAGGAATGTTGTACAAGTCTTTAACTTTGTACACGACCAGTCTCTTTTTTTTTTTCCTATTCATAAAAAATAATAATAATTCTGTTTTCTTTTGTTTGTCTATGTTTCACCTGCTGATCGAAGTGCTCTTTCTCTATAAAGTATCCGTTTTCCATGCGCCAGGACACAAACAAAAGCCACTTTTTGTGATGAGATGGGTATTTAAAAAAAAAAAAAAAATAAGGAAAAGCAGTGCCAAAAAGGGATGCACTTCTCCACCAACGACATCTTGCAAACACGTGCTACGTAAGCTCAATAACATCTGTGGAGAGAAGGAAGGGCCAGGGTGCTCCCTCTGTCCAAACAATACCCATATGGGGCTGTTTGTGCTGTGCATGCTGCATGCTTCCCAGCACAGCTAATCGTAGCTGCCTCTTCCCTGCTGTGCTGGAGAGGTCCCTTGGAGTCAGGGCTGTGCTCGGAGATGAACTGCTCAGCAGCATTGCCCTGGGATGTTGAGCTGCTTGTCTGCTGGGCTCCAAACAGGGTGGGGAAACGGGGTATCGCTGCTGCAGCCTTCCCAGAATGAAGCCACAGCCTTGGTTGGGTTTGTCCGTGGCTCTGGCACTGATTTGGGCCATGGATAATTATTATTTAATAGCAAGGAATTGCTGGTTGTGAAAACTTTCCTCTGAAAGATAACTAGAAAGGGAAATGGTTTTCTCCTTGCTGTGTTGCCTGTATGGGGCTCTTCCAACTGAATCTGTTTAACAAGCAGTTGGTTAATTATTTTCTTGCTGTCTGGAGACTGGGAGATAAGTTTCCATTGAGCATCTTGCCCTGTCTGGGATTTGGCAAAGAGTTTTATTGAAACAATCTGCTCATCTGAGTAAGATTTTGCTGGTGGAATTGTGACAAAGTTGGACAAAAGAAATGCAGGACCAGGCTTGTTAAACATTAAAACTATAGCTTCTGTATTTGCAGCAGCATATAGTGATGACTGATGTCTTTATTTTGTCACTTTCTCTTTTACAGACACTGTGTACCTCCTAGGATATTTGAAATAAAACTGTAGGTGAAAAAAACTACAGTGATGGACATTTGGGTTAGTTTATATCAGTGGATTTTTGTCCCTAAGTTTATCAATACAGGCTTTCAAACTGCTGGTGACAAAAGTCTCTTAAAGAGCTAGCTCTTGAGTGCAAATTTAACACATAATGTTTTCCCTTTTTGCCAAAATTTAGTAATGATTCCGTGTCTCTTAGCTTCTGAAACAAAATTATCATTAACTTGAGAATCTGTACAAATAATTAGAGCATAGTAAACATTACCTTTGTTCTTTGCTACGTGGGTACACAGTATATGGCTTTATGATCCCATCATGTGTAGGCACATAAATCTGTGTGCTCTGGAACAGGTGTGGGATGAAAAAAGCACCTTTACATGTTTTCCAGGAGGAATGAATTATTACAAGAAGGGGTATTAAGCCAAATTGTACCTCTGTTTTAGGTACACAGCTCAAGAATACCTTGAAGGTACCCTGATTTTAATGAAGTGACTGAGTTACCCACGGCTTGGGTATTTGTTGAAGTTAATCTCTAGGTGGGGTTTACATTGCCTCTAGAATCATTGGCCTGTTCTGAAGTATATAATTAAGCCTTTTTCCTTTTGGAGCTGGCTTTGTTGAGCAAAGAATTCTGAAATGGGGCAAGCTTGGAGGAAAGATGTTAAAGTTAGGTTTGCCAAGCAGAAGGTGTATCCCTTCAGACTTATTCTGGTTTGGGTTCAGTAACCTCCTAATCCACCAAATCCTTACGTCAAAAACCTGAATTTATACATGTCCAGATCTGTAGATCTTTTTCAGAACACTCTTCTTAGTTACTTGGTGAGTATGGGGCCTTAAGAACTTCCCAGATGTTTTCTGCTTGCTGCAAGGGTGTTATTGGTCCAGGTTGAACCATCTGTTATCCAGCCAGTGACAGTTCCTGTGCAGATACAAAATGTCCTGGGGAAGCCATACTCAGTTCCCTTGATCCATGGCCTTGGCAAGGCTGTGTGGATCCAACCTTCCCTCCCTTTTGTTTATTTTTTTTTTTAATTATTGTAAATTGCAGTGATCTCTATTGATGCTGGATTTTAAGGATGTTTTGTGTCTTAGTGGGAATGTCTTCAATAACAGGATAGTTAATACGTTTAGAGATAAGATCTTGAAAGGAAAATACATTGTTACTGTTATTATTATTTCTACTGTGAAAACACAAAAATCCCACATAGTCTTTAAATTCTATCACCTTCAGAAGACACTGGTAGGAGGCTATATAGTTATGTAGAAGAGATACTCCATTGAAAACAAAAAGATGAAACATTAGCTGGTGTCTTTTGAGAATATAAAATGCTTTCAACTACACATGTGCATGTTTGATACACTTTGGCTGTTGCTTTCATGTTGCTTTCATGACTCTGTTATTCAGTCTTAATATATTATTTTTACTTCAGCAGCTGTTGCCTAATTATTTCAAGAAGCTTTTGGAAACAACTCATTCCTAGGATCATCAGATGTTTGCTTTGTACAGCAGAGCATAAATATTCCTTTGGTCTTTTGATTGGTTTTGATTTAATGAGTACCTGTTGTGGAAGAAGTCCTCTTACAGTCTAAAGAGCCCACTCTGTGGAGCAGAAGTTCATTGAGATGTTTCTGTGCAGAGCCATGTGAAATATTCAAAGAAAATAGCAGATAAAATCCCCAAGGGATACAAGTCTCTCTTTTTCCTTTTGCTAATGGGTTCATGTGTCTGTAGAGTTTCTTCTACTGGTGCAGTAGCGTCTGAACAACATTCGAGTAGTTGGTTTTTATCTTATCTTCTCTTTGTTTGTAGGGTAAATTGCCAGTTCTTCTGCTCGGTCAGTCTGCAGACTTGAGGCCAGGAGAATTCGTGGTGGCGATCGGAAGCCCGTTTTCCCTCCAGAACACGGTGACCACGGGGATTGTGAGCACCACTCAGCGTGGGGGGAAGGAGCTGGGGCTCCGCAACTCCGATATGGACTACATCCAGACCGACGCCATCATCAACGTACGTCCTGCTCCCAGCCTGGCCAGCCCTTCACTAGTGGCTTTGAAAGTCTCACCAGTGAGGTAGATCCTAAGAACAGTGAGAGTAGTTGGCTTTTCTTCTCTCCGTGTGAATATGGACATCTGCTCTGCAGCAGCACTTGTCTGTTATTTAAAAATCCCCCAAGGAACCACACCAAGTACAATATCTGCCTTTGCTTCAGAATTACAGGGGAGGAGGCAATATTCTCTGGCAAATAAAGATCTTTTTGAAATCCATCATGTTTTCTCCAAAAGAAGCCAAACTTGAATCCTTAAACTAAGCTTGTTTCTGCATTGAGGCGAAACAATAGTTTTTGTACTTCTACTGTTGGACTTGTCAGGAATCTTCACTAACAGCTCCCAGAGCTGTCCTCAAATCTTCTAAGTTGCTAGTGTGGTATTATTAAAGCAAAAGAAAAACCTTGGCTTTCTTAACTTATCCTGGCAAGAGAAAAAGGACTAAGGATTTGCAAGGCTCAGCTAAAAAGGGGGATGTTAAGTGTAGTTAATGGGTTTGGCTGGTAAGACTCTTCTATTGTATGTATTTAATTGACAATGAAAGAAATTACTGCAGAAATATTGCAAAAAATTCTTTAATGTTTTGCTTGCCGTGAATTAAGAGGTAGATATTAAAACATGTTCTTGCCATATGTTTATTTTCAGTATGGAAACTCAGGAGGACCCCTAGTAAACCTGGTAAGAGCTTCATTAAGTTTGCTTAGTATCAAGCTTATTACTTTTTACTTTTTAGTTCAAAAGCAAACAGCCCCACCCAAACAAACAAACAAACCCCACACCAAAAATGTGATTCAGAGATTTCAATATCTGGCTGACTACATAAAATTCAGATGGTTCTTACTAATCACTTGTCCATGTTTATGTTGCCACATCAGAGGATATACTTGAGTTTCAATATTTAAGGTGTTAGTGTTTTGCATAGTTTTGAGGAAGAGCAATGCTAAAATTTTTCTTTTGGCCACGCTTTGCACAAAGTAAAGAGCAAATTTTAAAGTAGAGGTGTTTGCCCTGATTTTATTTATTTATATATCTATATCTATATAAATATTTCAATGTTGCTAACACATGTCTACCCCTTTATTTTGAATCACACTGAGGGGGTTGAAAAACCCACATGTGTTTATCAGGAGATCAGAGTTCCTGTGCTGATATTGTAGAATGTTGTCAGAGCTGATGTTGCACCAAGGGTGGATGAGCCCAGGAGAGAACAAGTGAAGCAGGTTGCAGAACCCAGCTGCTGGGTGAGAGCTCTCAGAGGGGGCATGCAGGGCCCAAGGGAGGAGTGGCTGTGGTCCTTGGTGAGGCATGGCACAAACTGGAAGGAAGAACTAGTCAGAGTTTTTGCCTTGGGGTTCTGGCAAATTTTTTTTCACTCAACTCACAGTATAATTTCAGCACCACTAAAAATATTGTAGTTGGATGGATTTTATCTGGAATAAATCAGAGATGGAAGGTGCTGAGATTTCAGAAGTGTTTGAATCATTAGGTGGCAGCAGAGATGTTTTATCTGAAACCCTTTTGGAGTTGTGTTACCAGGAAAAGCTTTTGATTTTGTTGAACTGTTCTTTTTGTTTCTATTATTATTCAACGTTTGCTCAGAACCAGTTGGTGCTATGCTTTGTGAGGTCCCTGCTGAAATAAACAGCAAAATGGGCTGTAGAATATGCTGCTCATCTACTGCAAACAGACCTGCCTGGTTCTGGTCTCTCTTCTAGTGGAAAGTTGAATAACCACATCAGTTTTCCAAAATTTAGAATAGTTTTTTATCAATAGACTCAAAAAGTTAGACTTAAAGAAAGCATTTAGAAAATTGAAAACCAGCTGCAGAGCATGTTATGTGAGTTTGTGCTTGCTTGGAAGAAATGATCCATTTCTCTTTGGGACGTTTCTGGCTAATAACAATTTTTTTCTTTCTCCAGGATGGTGAAGTCATTGGCATTAATACATTAAAAGTTACAGCAGGGATCTCGTTTGCAATCCCATCGGATAAAATAAAGAAGTTCCTCACTGAATCCCATGACAGACAAGCTAAAGGTACTGTGCTTCACCACTCTGAAGGGGAAGAACATGAAAGTAATAATAAACCAGGAAGTCAACAGCCTCTGAGGCTCTTCTGGCAAGAGCAGTTGATCAAGACCTGTTTTTCTTTTTTTTGTAGGAAAAGCTATAACCAAAAAGAAATACATTGGCATACGAATGATGTCCCTGACTCCTAGGTAAGTAACCAGGGTGGTTCCTCACCTTTCACAGCGTGGTCTCTGCATGCTTTTGGATCAAGCTCATGATCTGCAGAAACACCCAGGAGGATGAACCAGCAGCGTGTGCCTCTGTAGGTGCTGGTGACAACTCGCAGCCAACCCTTGCTACTTTTTTCTCTGCGTCTGCTACGTGGTTGAACTCTCCTATAGACTCTTGTCTGAGCTAGTTTTCAAACAGCTCCTTGGCTTTTTCTTTTCCTTAATGCTTCAGAAGAGAATAGCTAGAGACTGTAACTTCTCCTGGGGCTCTGTTACTGTTGCTACCATCTGTCCTGTGCTGTCCTGTGGGTGGAGGGGAAAAGAGGACAGTGTGTTTTAAAAGCAGCTACGTGCGTATTTCCGTGTCTATAACTTTATTTTCATTAAACAATTCACTTACTGTAAAATGAAGCTTCTGTGTGGACTTGCTTATTCATACTCAAACCAGAAAAGACTCGTGAGTGGGTAATAGCACGTCCTGTAGAAATAACCAGATGTTTTCCCATGTGAAGAATCACAGGTACAACAAAGCTTTGGAAGCTGAAGGGGCTTTTTTTAGGTGTTCAGGATCTGCTCATTCTAAAGTAATGACCAGGTCTTGAAAAAATGCTTTAACTCCATTTCTCCTTGTCTGTTGAAATGATTATCTTTACAGAAATAGGCATTAAAAAAGCTGTATGCATGCAAAAGGTGCAATGTTTCTTGTAATACTTGGAAAGATCAAAACACATTGTGAAGTGTCACATCAACATGTGTAAAATACTTCAGCTGGTGAATGTGAAGTGACTTAACCAAGTAAAAATGCTTGATTTTTTTTTTTTTTTTTTTTTGGTCTCATCTTGTCAAAATACTTTTGTTGCTGTTTCTTCATTTTCCAGTAAAGCTAGAGAGCTGAAGGATCGCCATAAAGACTTTCCTGATGTTGTCTCTGGGGCCTATGTTATTGAAGTAATTCCAGAAACACCAGCTGAAGCGTAAGTTGAAGTTCTTTCTTCTCCAAACCACTGCCACTGACTTAAGGGGGTAATGATAGAGAATGTTCTCTGCTTAACAGGCTAGCTTGATTATGCTAAATGAACAAAATTGCAACCATCTGATAGCTATTAGGTTGTCTGCTGGAAATCAGTTTGTGGTTTTAGCTGGGTCCCCGATGGGCAATCTTGGGAATGTCTCAGGGTATGGCAGCAAAGCCCTGTCAGCATTCCTGGCCAAAAGGGCAAGGGCTCAGTGGGCGTGAAAACTCCATTTTCCTTCTTCTCAGCGACTGCTTCCAAGGCTCCTGTTGTAGCCATGCCAGTGCTGAACAAAGGAGTTTGCTTGTGCACCCTCCCCACGGCCCTGCTGGGCACTCCTGCAGGAGAGCCAGGGAGAAGCTTTGTGTCCACCTTGTGAAGAAGGGGTGTCCATCTCAGCCCAAGCACCTCGGTGATGGGCAAACCCACCAGCTCCCCTGGTATGCCTCCATTCGGAGTGAAAACCCTCTCTTGAGAGGTTTGTCAGGGGTCACATTACTGGGAAGAGCTTGTGGGTTTGGCCAGCTGATCTTTTTCTTCATGTTCAGTATTTATTCAGAAATTCACCTGCTGATTGGTACCACACTTCACAAGGTGCTTGGTTGAAGGACAGCACCTGATCTGTGGTCACTATCACTGGTCTGGCTGGCTCTTGCTGGAGACACCTTCTCTTCAGCCTGGCTGGTACAAAACCACCCAGTAATCCAGGGTAGGAGGCAGGAAAACAATTAATTCTCTGAAACTAGAGATCATTTAAGAGAAGAGTAAATCTTTGTGGCAACAAAGAGAAATAAGTAGTGCCAAGGGCATGTAGGCAGAAAGCTGCTTGGTGCAGACATATGTCCTCTCTTAGGAAGACTGCATGGATGGTTGGGTTTCAGTTGCACTTAGCTAACACCACACATCTTAGAGAGCACACGAGACTGGATACCACTAAGTTATTGCTGCATTTTGTAGATAATTCTTGTGGGCAGCACTGTTGATGCAGAATCCTGATTTCTCTCTGTGATTTGAAGGTGCAGTTAGTGTAGGAATCATGTGGCTGCCCAACACCACAGATCTTAGTGGTATCCAGTCTCGTGTGCTAAGTTATTGCTGCATTTTGTAGATAATTCTTGTGGGCAGCACTGTTGATGCAGAATCCTGATTTCTCTCTGTGATGTGAAGTTGCAGTTAGTGTAGGAATCATGTGGCTGCCCCAGTGTGGGATGGAACTTGCTGCCCAGGTCCAATCTGAAGGTGCAGAAAAGTCACGATAGGAGTACAGATAATAGTAGAGAGTGGAAGGACATTGGAGAGGTAGAGGAAATTGGAGCCAATGTGGCCTTGTAACTTGAAGGCAAACCCAAATCAGGATGCTTCATCCAAAGGCTGGACTGGGAATTAAAATGCAGCCCAGGTTCACTCTGTCTCCCCTGCTCCTCATCCCCTTGCCACAGGGGTTCCCCATTCTGCTGATTTCTTCTCCACTGCACGCCGTGTGGACCTGCTAGCTCAGGGATCAGAGCAGTCCTGCAGCAACCTGACCTGGGTATGAGTTGAGTGGAGAGGCTGCACAAGAGGCCAAGATAACCTGGAATGGTTTCTCCCATGGCAGTGTTTTAAGCCATGCTTCCAGTAGGCAAGCAGCCTTGCTGGAAACGTTGGCCAGGGCACCCTGCTTGCAGGAGACACGTCAGGCGTCTTCTGCGGGCGGAAGAGGCCGATGACTGCTCTGTGGTTTTGAGCAGAAGGATTATGCTGAAGGGCTGAATCATGTCTGATCTGGTTACTTGGTTAATATTTCCATAACTTGGAGCCAGATCGTTGTGCAAGACCGGGCAAGACGTTGTGGTGGATGGTATCCTCACCACCCCGTTTCCCAGTCTCAGCCAGCTCAGGGAGAGACCTGTGGCCCAGGGCAGGAGAGCCTGGTGGTGCCAGCTCCAGTTCTGCCCTGTCTTGCTTTGAGTCAGAAAGATTTTGGGTTTAGTTTGCCTACAGTGCTGAGGTCAGAAAGGATTCTGGGGGGCTACGGGCACCACGGTTCTGGGACCGAAATCCCTCCTGTGTTACCACATGGTGCCACTCAGATTGCTTTGCTGTGTATACATGAATAAAGGATGGAAATTTCCCCTCTGAAATGAACACCCTGCTGCAATTATTTCAAAAGAAAATAAGCCTCTACATCTTCTACTGAATCAGCACCTCACACCCTCGTTGCAGAGTTACTGCACTGTTTGCAATAGTGAATTCTTCTGAAGACAGTGAAATATGGGATTCATGAAATTTGTAGCTCTGCTTGATTTCTGAGTTTTTTTTTCATTGTATTGTAATCTTCACTGCTCCATAAATTCTGATGGCTTTTGCATGCCTGCTGTGCCTCTGCGCAACGGCCGCTGGGTGGGAAACAGGAAAAAATCCAGTCATTTTTTTAATCAAATGGCAATTGTAACAAAACACTGCTGCTTTGTGTTTTCCAGTGGTGGCCTGAAGGACAACGATGTGATTATAAGCATCAATGGACAGTCGATAAGTTCAGCCAGTGATGTCAGTGACATTATTAAAAAGGACAGTACGTTGAACATGGTCGTACGCAGGGGCAACGAAGATGTGATGTTAACAGTAGTTCCTGAAGAAATCGATCCCTAACCAGAAACATGAGCTGGATTTCATGTTTTCTTTTAACAGCATTGGACTGCTTGTCTTCTCTCTGTGCTGGTACAGGAAACGTTAGACTTCTGACCAACATTCTGCTTGTTCAGTGGATTAGTATTGGCCAACAGAGTAACTTCTACTAGGTTTAAGGTGCGAAATCAGTGTAATTTCACATACTCCAGATGATAATTTTTTTCCTTCTGTATTATGTATGCAATGTACTCTTTACTGGCTGTTACATCCCCTGCTTAACACGCCGACGTTTGCTTCCCTGTGTTGAATAGGTTTCCCCTTATTTCTTCTAAGATTTAAACAGAACCCACGCACACAATGTGTGTTGTGGCATTCAGGTATTTATAGGTTAGCTGTGCTTTAACTGGAAATACCATTGTAAAGGAGTAGCTGGTTTAAAAGGAAACACAATTGGGGCGAAAAAGTTTGGTTTATAAACACAAAGAAATCCCAACCACAATAACCTTTTGAGGATCCTGTGCAGGACTTTAATACTATGATATTTTCCTAGTGTTATTAAAAGAATTCAACAGTACTGCTTCTTGTGAGTGATTCATTTTACTGCCTCTTGTGGAGAGTTCTTCCTTGAGCAGCACATCTGCCTGAAAAGATGTCCTGATGGTCTCCCTTTTATCATCACAGACGGAAACATCTTTCACTACATGTTTGTCTTGGTGCTCTTGTGCATCTGCTGCTCTTAGCACGGCTGGCTCCAAGTTGTCCTATTGGCTAGAGCAGATTGCCTGTCTTCCAGATGTTAATACATTGTCCTTGTTGTTTTAATTACAGCCTCACCAATGCCTGATCTGTTTGCCATAGAAATTGTCATGTTGTGGGTCACAGGTCGGATACCCTTCTAGTTGTGATCTCAGGATGTTTGTAACTGTTGTAGACCTGGCCTTAAGCTCTGTTCAAACAGGCCAGTTTATTCAGTGTCTTGGGTGCTGGTGTGTGTGTGACAGGACCTGGTTTGGACTAGGATATTGGGCATTCCTCCAACACAGAGACTAATCTTTATACATGTATTTATGGATGCCCTTGAAGCTTGGGTAACGAATGCAATTATTTTACTGTGAAAGAGAACAATCAACTAAATTTAATTAGAGTGTAATTACTCATTGGGTGAACAATAGCCTAAGCAGCCTTTCTAAAGCCTCTGTTGAAATATGTATCTCAAAGAATAAATCCAAGGGCTATAGATATGTTTCTGTGATTGTCATTCCTGAACTACTTCTTTTGGAAACAGCTTTGTAGTAAAACTCTCCAGTTGGGTACGTGGCAGCTGATGATGCTGGAAGGGATGCATTCCATGCAATTGCAGCAAGAAATCCTCTAGGCCTGGATCCCTCACAGTGCTCCTTCTCCCTCCAGCTGTATTTCAGTTCAGATTCAGCCAGCTAATCCCAGTTTGGGAAGCATCTGTTTCCCTGAGTGGTAGTGTTTGCCCCTACTCCCCTGGATCAGCACAGATTTTTAGTCATACAGTGTGTTGACCCCTGACTGAACACCTCACTGATGATTTGCTTGTTACAACACTATGGGAAATCACACAAGTCTGAAAACCTGCCAGGATATTATGGTGCCCAATGCTGAAGGTCTGCAGTACTTTCTAGCATGAAAGATGCAAAGTAGAAGGACCTTGCCTTGCTTTGTGGTATATTTGCACTGCAAGTTCACCTTGCTGATGCTGATTTAATGTTTCAGCTTCCTGTTGAGGTGGTGTTGTATTTTGCACATCATCCATGCCCTGTGTGGTGCACGATGTGGTGATGTACAGCTCCTGGCAAAAAAATGAATTAAAATAACACCCACCTTTAAACTAGATGTAAGGAAGAAATGCTTTACAACGAAGGTGGTGAAATGCTGCAACAGCTTTCTCAGAGACTCCCCATCCCTGGAACCATTCCAGGTGAGGTTGGATAGAGCTCTGAGCAACCTGCTCTAGCTGCAGATGTCCCTGCTCAGTGCAGGAGACTTGGGCTAGATGGCTTTTAAAGGTCCAACACAAACCATTCTACAAATCTTTGCTACTGCACCTAACCCAACTAGGAAAAAAATTAAGTTAAAGCCTCAAAGCCAGGAAACTGTTTAAAAGAGAAGTTATTTTTCATCTGCCTTTTTATTTCAAAACAAATGGTTGCATAATTTACAGAGCTGGTTCGTTCTCTTTGTTGATGTGCAAAAATCTTTAACTTTTTTGCTTGGTTTCTAGCTAGCTGCTTCAGGCTTACTGATGATGTCCTTGTCATGACAGCCAGCACAGGACATCTCTGCCTGGGCTCTATGTCCTGCGAGGCATAAATGCCCCAGGACAATGGCTTGGGTTTGGCATGTGCATTAGGAAAGAGGCAAATGAACTTGACTTCTGTAAATGTTTTTCCTGTGCCTCTGGGATTAGTGAAATACTTGACCCTATTTCTAGCTCGTAGCTCCATCTAGTGGGATGGAAGGTGGTCTGTTGTTGCAGCCAGTCATTTTCCATCATATATTCAAAAGTGGTTGTCTGATTTATCTTTTTTAAAAAGTGATAGTTAATTTCTTTGCATTAGATACCCACAACCACATGCCTATTCTGAAAAATCTTTAGAATTTGCTCTTCCAATATCCAACCAAGCAGCTATGCAGATGGTTTCTTACAATCAAAGTTGTCTCTAGATGTTTAAGTGTTTAAAATAAGATTGCTGGTAAACAGAGACACAGAACCAAAGTTTGTCTTTAATACAATTAATTAGCATTTATTATTTATGTATTATTGGGCAATAGATTTGGCATGGGTTTTATTCTTTGTTGCTTCAATGCACAGTTCTTTCCAAAGTGCAATTGAAATAAACAGAGACACAGAACCAAAGTTTTTCTTTAATACAGTTAATTAGCATGTATTTTTGATGTGTTATTGGGTAATAGATTTGGGATGGGTTTTATTCTTTGTTGCTTCAACGCACAGTTCTTTCCAAAGTGCAATTGAAAGTGCTTTGTACAGAATAGCTTTGGCAGAGTTTGCATAAATATCAGTTTCTTGGAAATTTTAGCAAGTGTTGGACACTAAATGAGGGAGATTGCATATTCTGGCTTGATTTTTCACTATTTTTTGAATGTCTGAAATGGAAACTGGAGCTGCTGCATATGTGATGCTGAGCGGATGGCAATGTGTGCCTACACTCAGAGGTAGTTTTGAAAAGCTGGTTCACTTATTCCATGAGGAAAACGTCTCAAACTGTAAAAGAAATGATCATGACTAACAGTTGTCTGGTTTCTGTGGCTTATGTGCCAAGCAGTAAGGTCCTGTAGTTTCAATACCAGAGCACCTTTTTTTTACTTCTCCCCCCATTTTGTATTTAAGGAAGCTGAGAGTGTTTTTAAAATTACACCTTTCCAAATTACAGTGAGATTAGATTATATGCATGTCCTTATAGTGTATCAGAAAAAGCCTGTAGAGGTGATTAAAACTGTGTGTGTAAGTATCCAGGAGGAACAGAGGTGACCTGGAGGTTAATACCAGTCCAGAGCAGTGAGTGATGAGTGCCACTGTGAGTGTCTTTGCATGTGATGGTAGGTCAATGCAAGAGTTCTTTTCATCCTCAGAGTAAGAGTAAAGAAATACTAATTAATGTTCAGAGAATCTCCTTGATTGAATTATATTTGAGATTAATCCTGCTGTTGCTAAATTCCTGTATTTATCCATTATCATGTGGATGTGACTTGGCATCCTCTGCTCAGTTTCCCGTCTCCCTTTGCTCTCACTCCCTCCCTGTCAGTATTGCTGCTGACTGTCAGCAAAAAGAAACCAAAAATTGCACCCTGGCCTGACATTAAGTCAGACTTTGAAGTTAAATGTCAGTGAGCTGTTTTGAGGCTTTCTTCCACCGAGAGGCAGAAACATCCCTGAGAGACAGGAAGGAGTCAGGCAGAGTGGTGATGGCCAAAGATCTGCCTCATCTTGCTGTACCCTCCACTTTCAGCTGCAAACCTCAGCTCAGCAATCTTCAGGCCAGACCCTGAAATCTGCCCAGCCTCTGATAAAGCTGTCAGGAGGTGAGGGGACTGATAGCATCACTCCTAATGGCAAGGCCATTGTCATTCTTAGCTGGAGAGAAAAGCAGAAAGCTTTGCTCGTTTTACATTCTTGGTGCATAGGCACTGTATGTCTGTGTGTCCAGCTGTGCTGTACAGATGTTTGACACACCATCCATCTATTTTTGCAGAGCTGTAGAATACCAAGTTGGAAGGAACCTCAAGGATCTTCTGGTCCAACCTTCCCTGGCAAAAGCACAGTCTAGACAAGCTGGCCCAGCACCCTGTCCAGCCACATCTTAGAAGTGTCCAATGTTGGGGAATGCACCAGTTCCCTGGGGAGGGAGATTATTCCAATGACAATGATTGTCCTTCTAAAAAATTTTCCTTGTGTCTGATCGGAATCTGCCCAGGAGTAACTTGTACCCATTACCCCTCCTCTTCTCCATGTGATTTCTTGTAAAAAGGGAGACTCACCTTCTCTGTAGTAGCCACCCTTTAAATACTAGAACATGGTGATAAGGTCTCCCCTCAGCCTTCTTTTCTCAGGGCTGAATAAACCCTGTTCTCAGCCTTTCATCATGTGGCAGGTTTCCAGTCCTTTGATCATCTCCGTGACCCTTCTCTGGACCCTTTCCATCCTGTCCACATCTTTTAGTATAGGGTGACCAAAACTGAACACACTATTCCAGGTGTAATTTAGTTCCCCTCTACCCTCAGACTCCATTTTCTTAGGCAAGAAGCTGGGAGGTGAGGGCTGGACCCACTGGGTGCCAGGATTTCAGCTGGTTTAGCCTCTTTGTATTGCTACTTTTTCCATATGCAATAACTTTATTTGTTAAGGGGTACACACTTGTTTTAGCAGTTGTTTTGTGTAATAAGTAATTTGACTAAATTTACCAAGAAAGTGAGGAAGGAAGCTCCTCAATTTCCAGAAAAATCTGCATTTTCTGGGAAGCTGTCCTCCATTTTTTGTGGTTTTGTTTAGTAGTCATGGTACCACAGTATCTGTCCTCATAAACTCTCTGAGGAAGTGGGTAATAATTAGGAACTGATTAGAGAGAAAATGAGTCAGAGCTTAAAGCATGGGAGTCAAATTTACTAAGTTTGGTAAAGAATTGACTTCAGCTTGGAAATACTGCATAAGATGCTGGAGAGGAAAATCAAATATTTTTTTTTCTGTTTATTCCTTTTCTGTTCAGTGTTTATGCAGAGAGCACAGGGATTTTCAGAGTTTGTAGTGTGAGTATCTGAGGGAAATGGGCTGATACAAAAATCTGGTTTCTGTGGCTGTTGCCCTAAGCAGTTGCAATTAACTGATCTCCTGAACTTGCTAGAAAACTTCTGCTTACATGAATTACCACGTTGGTATGGGTACAAAGCTATCAATGCATCAAGAAGGGGATGTCTATGGGATCAGAGCACCATGGAGAAGCAGCAACTGCTTGGTTTACCTGGACCTCTTGTTGCTGGACTCATTGCATAGACATGGCTCAAATGGTTTAGCTCTTCCACACAGCAAAT